TTCTGGAAAGACAGGTTTTTCCATATTTCTTATTTGTTTTAGATGGTGCCACTCCAAGATGACATGCTAAGTACACTTATTTCTTCTGTTTCAGCTTCATTTCACTCCCATCCTCCCTCTCACGTTAATGTTTGAAGTTGTGATATCTTAAAATTCATAGGAACATGAATGTAAAGTCCCACTTCTCTTGAGGAGCTGTTACTGACTTGAAAGTGTTTTTTTTATAGGGATGGCATCTTAGATCCCAGGAAATGGGATCATAAGGGGGCCAAAAATATGAACTCAGCATTCTTTATTGGCAAAGAGCCATATATGATATTCCACCTCACTTCCCTTCTGTAGTGAGTTTGTTTTCTATGAAAAAGGACCTTCACTGGGTGATTGTGGGTTGGCACAGAGCAAACAGATACCAGCATTGAGAAAGGAAAAAGTCTGGATGGTCATTTTATTTTTTTTTGTTTATGATACTACTTTGCATTTGATCCAGAGATAACCTGGGAAGACTATAGATTGATATATCACAATTATTTCATGGCAGCACTATGGTTTGATAATGAAATATTAAATAATCATATCTTGAGTCTAGATTGCATCTGATATTTATAGAGATATCTTTCTTGAACTCTCAGCATCCTATCTAATAAAAGAGTAATATGCAAATTAACCATCACTCTGCGACAAAATGGCAGTGCCCATGGACAAGAGATGGTGGCACCCAGTTTCTCAGGCCCAGGGAGGGCTGCCGCTGAGAGCAGGTAGTATGAGGCCCTGGCTGTTGGCCTGGGAAGTGCCTTCACACCCCCTGCTTGATCAGCTCCTAGGCGCTGCTGGGGAAGTGGCCTGGGAGGCAGCTGCACACCCAGGTGCAGTCAGCTCCCAGCTGCGACCTGGGCAGTAGCCTAGGAGGCAGCGGGCACCCCTGGTGCGATCAGCTCCCAGCTGAGAACTGAGCCAAAGGCCTGGGAGGCAGTGTGCATCATTTCTCCCCCACCCTGAGATCCACTCTCAGGCCTGATCTGGGCCATAGGCCTGGGAGGTGGTGCACACCCTGGCAAGATCAGGTCCCAGTGGCTACCTGGGCAGTAGCCAGGGAGGTGGCTGTTCACACTTGGCATGATCAGTTTCTAGCTGCAACCTGGGCCATAGGCCTGGGTGGTGGCTGCGCCCTTTCCCCATATTCTTCATCCCCTATTCCCCCACCCCCACATGTGATCTGCTCCTAGCCTCGTCCTGGGCTGTGGGCCTGGAAGGCTCCCAACTGCCTACCCGCCCCCCCCCCCCCCCCCATTCTCCCATCCCCCATTAATCAGTTCTCATCCACAGTTGGGGAATGTAGGCCTGGGAGGCAGCTATGCTCCCAAGAGCTATTCATTCCCTGGGGCAGCCTGAGTATCAGCTGCCAAAGGCCTGGGCCCCCATGGTGATCCCCCCACACACACCTATAGCCTTCGAATTTCCCTTGCCCCCAGCAGAGTGATTAGAGTCAGAAAAGGAATAAAAAGAGAAAAGAAAGAGAGGACAAAAGATGAAACATCAAGAAAAACAAAGAGAAGGAAAAAAGGAAGAAACAACCTCATGATATCACCTTTCCAAGGTCTCATGAAATTCCTGTTTAAGGAGTTTATTTTATGACACTTTTAGTTTGGGCTTACATTTTTATTGGTTTGTCAAGACCAAGGCAGGTACATTGTCCAATATGTTAAAGAAAAAACCCTATCTAATAAAGAGGGAATATGCAGGGGAGGGCATTTGGGGTTGACTGGGCTGTCATGGGAGGGCAGTTGGGGACTATTGGGCCAGCAGGGGAACAGTTAGGCGTCAATTAGGCTGTCAGGGGACTGGTTAGGGAGTGATCAGGTTGGCAGGCAGAAGTGGTTAATTGCAATCAGGCAGGCAGGTGAGCAGTTGGGAGCCAGCAGTCCCAGATTAAGGGGTGTCCGACTGCCTGCTTAGGCCCGATCAACATCCCCCAAGGGGTCCCAGATTGGAGAAGGTGCAGTTTGAGCTGATGGATACCCCCCCTCCCCGACCCAGTGCAAGAATTTTGTGCACCGGGCCTCTAGTTTAATATAATTGATTACTCCTGTTTCAAATACTCTCTTCTCTGGATTTCAAAGACATCATGTGCCTAGTTTTATCCTCTTATCTTATTGGCTGCTCTTTTTTCAGTCTCCTTTTTTGTCTCAACTTTTCTTCCAGACCTTTGAAAGACCCAGTCTTCTACTTTTTTCTCTCCTTTCTTTCCTTCCCCTCCACTCCTATACTGTCTCCTTAGGTGAGCTCATTCATTCCTATAGATTCAGGTATCTTCTATAATATGTGGTTTTGATTCTCTCATTTGTGTCTCATATATATAAATGGCTAATTAATATTTCCAGTTGGATTTTTAATAGCGATCTCAAATAAGCATGTCCAGAAGACCCTCTATTGATTCTCTTGTTCCCAAATCCGTTTCTTTGTAAACCTTTCCTGTCTCAATAAATGGCACTGCAAACAACTGATGCTCAGGGCAAAATACCTCTCATATGTTTAGGAATCCTACTTGATTACTTCTTGTGTGACTTTCTGGGTTCTCTCACTGGGTTATCTTGTTTCTACCTTCAAAATATGCCTCCATTTGCTTCTCACTCCTGCCATGCCAAACCCCAGTCCAGGTTACCATAGACCAACATGTCAGCTTCCATCTGGTTAGCGTGCCTGTATTTTTTTCTTACTGCGTTTCCATTTGCTCTATCTACAGTCTTCACAGTGCTCCAGAAGGGGCTTTCTGAAGTAGAAATTAGCTCATGTTTGAAACAGTTACCAGCATAACCTGGTTCCTGCTCTCTGACCTTTCTCCTCCTGTTCTCCCTATGTCCAGTCACTCTGTTGGTCTCTCTGTTACTAGAACATGCAAGCTTGGTCCTCTTTCTAGGCCTTTGCTTTTGTGGTATCTCTCAGAAAGCTCTTCCGATCTTTTGCGGATTGTTTCCCATTCTGTGAGTCCCAATTCAGATTTGAAGAAAATAAAGCTATTCTATTCAGATGGCATAGCACAAGGTTTAGGAATTTCAGGTGGTTTGGTGTGGCTGGAGAGAGAGGTGAATTTAGGGAGAAATGAATATTGAAGTTGAAGATCAGGATAGGCCTTGAATAGAAGATCTAAAGAGTGCAATAGTCAGATTGATATTAGAAGAGTATCTTCCAGATGGCGTTGTGGGGGTATCAATGCTCATCATTTCCAAGTTTGAGCAGAGAAGTGACATAATCAAATTTATGTTTTATAAAAGGCCACTTTGCTGTTGAGTGAGTGGGACATATACTGTGGTGATGATGGTGGGGGGGATGAATAGGAGGAGTGAGATGAGTTTAGTAATAAGGAGCTTCCCTTGTCTTTTTAGCATTTCAAGAAGTTTTGGATCCTTATAGAAACATTTTATCATTTTTTATAATAAATTTTGGGGTGAAAAGTTTTTGCCATGCTACTAAAGCTTTGATGTGCTCTCCCACTCTCTCTTGTAATGTTTGCACCTGAAGCCCCTTAGTCTTCTTAGTTCTTCATGTCTTCTGACCTCAGTTTTGGTTCTTACTAAAATATCATTGAAGTTTTCAATTTTGGTTTTCCTTTCATTGTGATAACCCTATTTTAGGCAGCAAAATAGTTGGAATAGCATCAAGCTCTTGAGGCATTTATAAATTCACTTGTGATCCAGTGCACAAAATTCATGCACATTAAAAGGGAATTAATTAGAGGAATTATTTTAATATTGCTATTTGCCCTTTCTTTATAATGGAAGTGTCAGAGATGAAAGAAAATTAGTAAAATATATATGAAAATCTTCCTCCTGTCAGAACCTGGGGTGGGCCACAAAAACCAGAGTTAAGTCCCCACCCACCCACTTGTGCCTCAAAATTGTGCAAGACCCATCCCTGCCCTGCTCCACCCCTATTGGGCTAGGTGCAGACCTGGCCAGCTCCACCCCTGTCAAGCCCTGCTGGGTGGAGAGTGCACCTTGAGGTCCCCTGGCCTGGGCCAGGGGGCACAGCCTAAGGTTCCCCATTCAAGCCCTGCCAGGTGGGGGGGCACAGCCTCAGGTCTTGGGCGTGGGGCATGGTCTCAGGTCCCCTGGCCTGGTGCTGGGGCAGGGGCATGGCCTAAGACCCCCCATCAAGTTCTGCCTGGCAGGGAATGCCCTCCATCAAGCCCCACATGGAGGGGTGTGTGTTTTCAGTTCTCCTGGCCTGGCGCTGGGGTCCTCTGTCAAGCCCCACCATGTTCCCTGTCCCGACCCAGCGCCAAGCTGATTGCTCATTAAGGCTCATTATAGGAACTCAGTCTCCTGATTGCTCATTAAGGCTCATTACGGGAACTCGGCCTCCACTGTGGGCACAGCCATCTTTTTATGGTGTGATAGTCAATTTGCATATTCTCTCTTTATTAGATAAGATGTCCATATATACATGGGTTTGGGTGATTTGTTGCACTGCTGGTGAGTTTATTATAGTATGTAACAATATCTAATCAAATTGTTGAGAGGAATAAAAGCCTCAATTTAAGGCTAGTCTTTAACGTTTTCAAGGAAGACAAATTTTATTTTTAATTAACTTCTCAAACTGAAGAATGATAATGTATGTGCTTGAAGAATATTACCATGTAGTCCCAAAGGGGCAATTTCCTATTCAGAGGCAAGTTTAGGACAGTTTCACTTTAGTTTTTGGAAGTTATTGAATGCACTCAAATATTGAAAATACTGGAAGCAAATGCTGATCCTCTTGATATTTTAAATGAAAAGATAATAATACAGGTTATACATTTAAAATATCTATTTCTTATGAATATTTCCGCATCACAGTAGTTACCTACTGTATTGTAATTGCCTGTTTACCTGCCTCTCTTCTCTACCTATCTCTGCTCTCCCCCAGCAGTCTCAGTGCCATCTAAGTAAGCACTTGGATATTTCTGACCAATTAAATGGGACACTTTTCTTCTTCTTCTTCTTTTTTTTTTTTTTTTTTAACAGAAAATGCATCAGACGCAGATTTATGGCTCCTGAATAGTTGCACTGTAAAAAACCCAGCGGAAGACCACTTTAGAAATTCAATTAAGTAAGTAGAAGTTAATTTTTTACAAGTGAGGTAAGAGTTGATTTAAGGATATTAGATTTTAAAAGATTGCTAAAAGTATGAATTGGATTTTAATATATTGTTTTTGCATTTATCTGTTAAAGAAGGAAACTTTAATGTAGACTTTTCTAATAGGTGATTTGTATATTTGTGAAGTTAGCTTACAGGTAATTGGAATATTTGTTAAGTATTAACAATGTACTCTTCTCAGGTACTCCATTCTGTACTTTCCGAACCTGCCCAGAGCAGTCCTTAGCCTCTTGCTCTCCCATGCCCTTTCGCACTGTTCTCGGTGCTGGTAATGCAAGGGAAGTACCGGTTGTTGGGGGAGATGAGCATGTAAGCCCTTGGTTCTTGCTTTGTTCCCTCAAGTTTAAAGTGAAAGAATATCTTTTGTTCACAAGTGCTCTGAATTTTACCCTACCCACCCACCTTCTTAGAAATCTCATTTTATAAACGATTTTTTCATTCTCCTATGTTTTCAGTCTTTGCAGTCCCATTGGAGTCTTTTCATTGACATTTAAATATGGTCAGTGCTAATCACCCCATATATTCCTTTTAGCTGTTGTCAGATTTTTCTTCTTGCCTTCCCAGCCAGACTTGAGATTCTTCACCTCCTAACTTCACTCTAAAACTCATTCCCCTTTCCGTCCAAATTGGTTTTATTATGAAATATACATATGATTTATGAAACCTGTAGTTTAAATAATAAATTTTATTATTATTTATATTGCTATTAATATATCCACCACCCAGCATAAGCAATATGATATTGTAAAGACCTTAGAAATTCTCCTGTGTCCCTCTTTCAGACACACCCCTAAAAAGAAAATTTTATCCTGATTTCTGTGTGTCATTCCATTGCTTTTATTAGCAAATTTATCATCTGTTAAGTTATCTCTAAACGATGGTTGTTTAGTTTTGCCCTGTTTTAGACCTTATTTATTGGACTTAAACTGTTGGTGTTCTGAGATTTGCTTCTTTTCCTAAGCAAATCCATGATTTATCCATGTTGATGGATGTGAAATTATTCTGGTCCCTTATTGCATCAGTTTGCCACAATTTATCCATTTTATTATTTATAGAGTTGAGTTTTTCTAGAACTTGGCTTATATGAATGAAGACTGCTGTTATGAATATTTTGAACATGGGTTCTGGTACACATGTGCAAGAGTTATTTTAGGATGTGTAACTGGGAGTTGAATTATTGGGTCATAGATATGTATATAGTCAAACTTTAATAGATAATGCCAAACTCTTCCCAAATGCATGTGTCATTCACTCCCACCACTAATGGATATGGGTAGTTGTTTTCAATTCATACTGATACTTGATATGGCCAGACATCTAATTTTTGCCAATCTAGTGGTGGAGATGGTATCTCAATGTGGTTTTAATTTGCATTTCCATGGTTACTAATGATGTTGAACATCTTTTATGTTTATTGGCCATTAGGATTTTTCTTTTTTGTGAAATGGCTTTAAAATCTTTTTTCTGCTGAATTGTCTTTTATTTATTTGTGGGAATATGTTACATATAGACTAGATACTAATCCTTACATGTTACACATGTTGCAGATATCAATTGTGGCTTATCTCTTCACTTTCTTTAGTGATGGAGATAAATTTTGGTTTAAAATTTATATCTTTTCCTTTGAGTCTATGCTATTATTGTGTAAGAAATCTTTCCTTACCCTAAAGTTAAGATATCCTCCATTATTTTCTTCTAAAAGTCTTATGGTTTTTATTCCTTGCACAGATTTATAATCTGTCTGGAGTTGATTTTTTTATTTGCATGTATGGTGCTAGAAAAGCGGTCCAGTTTATTTTAAATTTCAAAAAAGTTTTATTATTTTTCATGTGGGATCCAAAGTTTTCTAGTATCATTTATTGTTTTGTTTTTGGTTAAAAAAATTTATCCTTTCTCCCTTTAGCTATGTACTAGTGGCCCAGTGCATGAATTTGTGCACAGGTGGGGTCCAGCTGGCGCGGCCCCAATTGGCCTGTTGGGAGGAGGAGATGGCGGGAGGTTGGATAGCCTTCCATTGGGTGGGAGAGGTCAATCAGGGGCGGGGCCAGCTGGGTGGAGGGGCTGCAGAAGGTTGGCCATCTGCCCAACCCCCGGATCCAGCTGATTTGCTGGCCACAGTCAGCATCATAGTGACTGGTTGTTCTGGTCATTAGGCATTCCAGTTGCTGGCTTTTATATATATAGAGTACCTACTCTCATATTGAGTGTCCATAGATGCTTGGGTCTATCTCTGGGTTTTATTTATTTTTTATTAGTCTATTTTTTTTTATTATGGTACTTATTGTACACAGTCATAATTAGTAATTGTTTTATATTAAGTCTGTATAGTTGAGAATGTTAATGTGTGTGTGTGTGTGTTTAAGGGTGCTTTGGCTTTTCTTTGCCCTTCCCTATAAGTTCAAGTGATTTTGACTTTGACTACATTGAGTTGTCTTTTTTTTGTTTTGTTAATCCTCACCTGATAATACTTTTTCCATTGATATTTTTTAGATAGAGTAGAAGGGAAGGAGGAGAGGGAGACAGATTGAAAGAGAGGAGGGATAGAGGAAGGGAGGCAAAGAGAGAGAGAAACACTGATGTGAAAGAGACACATCCATTGGATGTTCCTACATGCACCCGATCATGCCAGGGATGCACTTGTAGCCGAACCAGAGGCCTTTTGGTCCATCTTTTAGAATTTTTCCCCCCTAAAAGTATACATAGGTATTGAATTGTTCCAGTATCACTAATTTTTAAAAAATAGTCTATATTTTCTCCTTTTACCTGTGCAGTACTTTTTTTTCTTCTCTCTTTATCTTTATGTGATTGTAAAAGGTACATTTAAAAAATTAATTTTCTAAATGTGCCTACTCCTTTGGTCTATGGGAATTATATCATGCAGCAGTGTGAAGGATGGTTGGGTATGAAAGAGTCTAGATTTGGAGTCCCTAGGACAGCGTTGCAGTAGTCCAGGTACTGCTGCCTTCTTTCTGTGGCCGCATTAAGAATTGGAATGAAGGAGTTGACTTGAGAAGTAATTCTTCACATTTTTAGCATTATTAAATATGACATCTAGATTTTTGACTAGAATGATATAGGGAATTCCAGAAAGGGGTTTCAATTAGAAGGAAGACATGTTTTGGTTTTGATCATGCTGTATTTAAAGTCACAGCTAAATATTGTATTAAAATAATGGATCGTCTTTTATCTTTATTGATAGTATTCTTTGTGGCAGGCACTGCTCAAAGTGCTTTACATCAATTGGGTATTATATTATCTAGCTTAATTTTTGCAGACTGTCACATTGTAGATTTCAATTTTATTTCTATTTGACAGATGAAGAGCCTCTCTTTCATATATGAAGTTTCTAAGGCTGTTGGGTTCATAAATGGGGGAGATGGGATTTTAACGTAGGCAATCTGACTAGGAGTATTGTATGTTTGCGCATTACTCTGCTTTCCAGATAAAGATTGCAGGTAGTAGAATTGAAGTAGATACCATTGTAGTGATATGGATTTTATATTGTTTGCATAGAAATTGTCATAGTTGAATGTAGTGGCATCCTCAACTCAGAAATTACAGAAGGAGCAGGGAGGAATTCTTTCCAGAACTGTGGTGGGAGGCAGAGGAGGTGGTCATGATTTGGGATGAAACAGCATAATTATGTGGGTCATGTTTAGGAGTAGGAGGAGGAGGAATGAAGCCAGGAGCAGAGGGTTATGTTTATCAGATGCTTTTGATTTTATGTTCAGAGATTGTCCATTTTTCCTCCTTTAGGAAAGTAAATAAGATATAAAGATATTTTAGTGCTACTGATACTACTAAGACCCTAGAGATTTAGTTTCTGTAATTGGCACTTTTATAATCTAAGAGGCCCGGTGCATGCATTCGTGCCTCAGTGGGGTCGCCTGTCCTGGCCTGTGGGATTGGGTTGAAACTGGCTCTCCGACATACCCCAAGGGGTCCTGGATTGTGAAAGGGTACAGGCCAGGCGAGGGATCCCACTCGTGCATGATCGGGGCCAGGGAGGGACACGGGAGATTGATCAACCGAGGAGGGACTGCAGGAGGGCTCTAGGGCATTTCCAGCTCATCTCGCTTAGTACCGATTGGTTAGATCCCAGCAGCAAGTTAATCAATCAGAGCGTCTGCCCCTTGGTGGTCAGTGCATGTCATAGCAACTGGTCGACCTGTGGACTGTCTGCCCCCTGGTGGCCAGTGCATGTCATAGCGAGCTGTTGAGTGGTCTTAGCATATCATTAGCATATTATGCTTTGGTTGGTTGAACAGCTGTTCAGTCTGCTGGACATTTAGTATAATATTAGGCTCTTATTATATAGGGTTAATGGATATACTTCTAGATTGTTTTTGCAAGTTTAAAAACTCAAATATAACTTGTGTTAATGGGTTTTGTTATGCACATAAACTATGTTGTGAATATAGCTCAGAGTAATGATACAGTGTTTGAATGATTAAATGAGGTAACCATATGAGAAAGGTTGTCATTTTAACAATACAGAACCAATGCAGGCAAGCACAGATTCCTTTAATGCATTATTCTGCTTGATTGGAAGATAATTTAAAAACAATATTAGAGTTGATTAAATATTTTTTAAAAATATAGCTTTGAAGACATTTGATAATTACAACTAGTTCTTGTTAACACCTAAGCTAACATTCGGTTTGTTTCCAAAATAAATACAATACTGTAAAAAAAGCACAGTAATAAATTGACATTGAGAAAACATCAAATTCAAGTGACATTTATACATTTAAGAACTTTTAGTAATAGATTACCTCCTCTTGTCAAGCATTTTCCTTTACTTAGCTGCTTTCTCCCTTGTCATCATCTCTTAACAAAGAAATACAAAAATGCATAGTTCTTAAACTCACTATACCTTGTCATGCTACCTATTTATCTTTCTCATTTTCCAGCTCTATCCTTCCCCCTTCTCTCTTGCATGCACTGCCCCC